TCACTCCCATTTTTATGATATCCGTAAATGTTATATTATAAAATTATTATTATTACTATTATGTTATTTTTTATTATCCGTGAATGTTAGCAACTGGACAAATTGAATGCAGCGGTCAAGGAAAAGCGACCAGAATTGGTCAATCGTAAAGGTGTGATTTTCCAGCAGGACAATGCTAGGCCGCACACGTCTTTGTCCACTCGGCAAAAATTGATGGATATTGGTTGGGAATCGATGTTACACCCACCATATAGCCCTGATCTCGTGCCATCGGATTACCACTTATTTCGATCTCTGGTCAACTCCCTTCGTGGTAAAACTTTTAACGATGATGACGCTGTAAAATCTCACTTAACTCAGTTTTTGGCCGAAAAGGATCAGACTTTCTACGAGCGTGGAATTTTCAAGTTGTCAGAGAGATGGCAAAAGGACATCGAACAAAATGGAAAATACATTACAGATTAAACTTCATTCCAAGTAAAAAAAAATTTTTTATTTCATTGAACAACTCGACAATTACTTAGTTGCCAACCCAATATTTACCTCTTCCGCCTCGCATCGGCATTTCTAAATTTTGGACGAATCGACATTATTTAATATTTAAAATTAATTTATATTCACGGATACCGAAGAAATTCTTGCTAATTCTAACATACCGACTGATTCGAAATGGTCGTTCGATAACGTGTCTTTATACGACTAAACTAAACGTGTCTTCAATTCATGGTAAATTGTATATACTGTGCCATACATTACGTACGTTGTGCACGTATGTCTTCAGACACTGTTGAAACCTTTTCATTTTGCGACGTAAGGAGTAAACGGTTGTCTGCGGTTCTGGAAACTTTACAATCATACTGATGTTGTGCATACATTATTACTGTCCCCGCGATTCGTGACACACTGACATTCGCATGCATATTGATCCTAGTTTATTGACTTATACCTATCTCAACCATTATCAGACCAACCTCGCCATGTAGAACCTTCAATATGTGATTACTTATCGCTTCATTATGCACGTACAGTACAAATATTCTGTGTGATCTTACAGTTTCTTTCATTAAAATAGTGTGCCGTACGATTAAAATCAATATCGAATACAGTTAACCCTTAAATGCATATTGTTGCCAATTGTCTACATTCCAGTTCCACTTAATTTTATTCAAAAACCTGAGTATGTGCGTTTCCGAACACACGTTGATAACAATAGACAATAGACCATGTGTGAAAGAAAAGACTTGACATTACTTTTAGCGAGTAAGTTATATGTTTTTTGACATTTGAATGTGGTGGGTGATAATCTTCAATGTGTTACTTGGAGAGATATTTTCTTTTTTCGAGTTTCCTATAAAGGAGTGATTTATCTAATTGAAAAAAAAGATTACTTCTCATCTGTTGTCAGGTAAGCTATGAATGTTTGATGTTACATTTGAAAATTTTATTGGATATATGCCAAAATTATTATATTATAATAATATAATATATATTATATATTATATATTATATATTATATATTATATTATATATATAATATATATAATATAATATATTTAATATATATAAAATATATATAATATATAATATAATATATATAATATAATAATAAATATAATGATATATATATTATATATAATACAATATTATTACCTAGATTTTTTTATTTATTTTTTACGTAACCTATGACTACATTCCTATAAAAAACGACTTTTTAAAATTGAAAACAAAAAATCATGCATTTAAGGGTTAAAATTGTTTCGCGACTGTAATTCAGAAAAAGTAATAAGATTATTATTAAGGTATTAAGTCGAAGTATTCTAATTTGTCCTACGTTTTGGTAATTTGGTAATGCGTGTTTAAACAATCCCTCTTGTAGTTGATGATAAAATACAGGGTGTCCTAAAAATGTCTCGCAATCCGTAAATGGGAGGTTCCTGGGGTGATTTGAAGTAACTTTTTCCTTAGCGAAAATGCAGTTCGCAGCTTCGTTTACGAGTTATTATCGAGAAACATGGACCAATGAGATGCGAGCTCGGCTGCGCGCGAGGCGGAGCGCACGAAGCCCAGTTCCGCTGATTTGGCTCGGCCGTCTCGCGCGATCTGTTCTCGTTTCTCATTGGTCACCGTTTTTCGTTAATAACTCGTAAACGAAGCCGCGGATTGTATTTTCGCTAAGGAAAAAGTTACTTCAAATGGCCCCCATTTCCGGATTGCAAGATATTTTTGAGACACCCTGAATATTTCTTTTGTGTACCTTGCGTATTTATCTAAATGAACCGACAGCTGCAACAACATTTCCACCCGCTTTCTCGACGAACTTTTTGAAGCAACAACCCCGTATGAACAAATATAGTAAAACTGTAAACAATACCCTATTTTCAATTAATTGATTCATGTGGCTGAACGTCTCTTCGGTCAGATTATTTGTTCCTTTAATTTGGACAAATATTTGAAATAAAAATTGATTTGGACGCAGCGCAAAATGAAACTTCTTCTCGTACGTCATTCGCGACATAAAAATAAGATGTTTGCTTGCCGATTTGTGTCAAATAAAATATGTGCGAGCACGATGCAACTCACCAAACGCGTCTCTAGCGGTCAAATTCGTTCCAGAAGGGTAGACACTGGACTTGGAACATTTTCTGTTAAGCTTCGGCGATCCAGGAATAACGCCGTTCTTGTCGGTGTCGTATAAGTTGTCTTTGTTATTCGCAACCATCCCTTGAATGTTTTTGTTCATCGACGACGAGTTCGAATCTGTAGAGGATCTGGCAGTCCTCTGGGGCGTCGAAGTCGTCGAATTCGTCTCCGCAGCCGCATTCTCAGGGTCCACCTTCACCGAAGATCTCCTTGGGCTGTGGTCGACGTTGCTTGCGTTCTTCGGGGACAAACTTTGCGGTCCACTGTGATTGCTCTGAAAAATAACAAGTAATTTATCAAGCTCAACGCTTTATGCATCGGAAGCCTCATCGACGCGTTCAATGCCGAATATCGATTCCAAATATTCGCACAATATCGAAGTCGTTTAATCAATTAAGCCGAAAGTAGAACATTGAAATTTACCATTGCAAATAATAGGTTAACACTTTCGAATGTTTAAAGTTCTAGCGGCATTCAATATATTACAATAACAAATGAATTTCGAAAACTAATTAAAGATTAGTGTCACCCACGTGGGAACAACGCGGCACTCGAGCTGTTAACATAGACTTTTTTCTTTTATGTTCATTTTTGTTTTCAATGATAATTTTCGATAAAATTGTTCTATTGTGCCAATTCGAATAATCTGTTGAATTATGGATGAAATTGCTGCCATTTTTGAACAATCTTTTAAGAAACTCTCAACTGCTGATGTTCGATCTGAAGAGAACTAATGGAAAATTACTGTTAGACAGAGTGTCCGAGAATTTATACAAATATAGGATTATTATGATTTTGTAGGCGGTTTTTTCTGATCAGATTGTACTAATTTATCGAAACGTAATGTCTAGATAGCGTATTTGTACGCAAAATAAAAATTGTCCGCATCGATTACGATAAGCAAAGTTTAGGTAAACATGTGTTTGTCTCTTGATGGTCTTAACACTAGATTTACGGAGCACAAAAAAGACTGCCTTATATTAGTTTATAAAAGTAACAATAAGACATTTATTCTGATTTTTAACAACTATTATTGTAACTAAATATAAGTATTTGTCGTAAGTAACATATAGATTGAGTAAATAACTCATGATGTAAATTAATATAAATATAAATTATAATATAATAATAATAGAAATATATTAATATAAATATAAATAATAGAAATAATTAATATAATATAAATAACTTATGTAAATTACTCATAATTGTAAATTAAAAAATTAGTGACCCGTCATTTTGACGGGTTATTCCTTCTGATGTTCTCACTGTTTCGTGTTTCGATAACTCATTTTTGCCATAAATGCATGAAATTCGCTGTCTAATAATGTCTGTGCAAATACTTTGCCCCATTTTATAGCTTTTATTCCGAAATATTAAATTCCGCGATTTCTCGCATCTACGTTAACAATCTTTTACGAGTAAACAAACAAGGTTTTACGAAAGAATAATTTTTCAGCTACCCGCGGGATTGTGAAAGGTCGCAGAACGAAATGAAGATTGTCTCATTTAGCGATGCTCTGCGTTATTTAAATATTATATCCTTGACCCAAATCCTGTAGCAGAAAAAAATGACGTTAAATGAAATATTAGTTCAAATAACACGTTATTTTATATGATAATTATTTTCCTGTCTATGATCACTTTTGAAACGTCAATATTTGGAATATTATTTTAAATAACATCTTACTTCACTTTATAATTATTTCAAGTAATTATTTAAAATGATTATGAAAATCTTGTTGGAAATTATATGGTGATTTAATTATCAGCTCCAAGTCTAGTTTAGGTATGCTGACATTTTCCTTAATATTTCAGCGAGATAAAAAGACCGATTTATGTTAAATAATGATCTGATAATAAAAACCATTTTACGCGGCAATATTAAATAAAAATCTCTTACGGATGAGAAATTGTTGTAAAGATTGTGACAAATAAAA